GGGACTGACAGCCCTTAGTTATTATGGACTTGATGAGAGTACAGACTTGTTTCTGACTTGGAGTTGACATCCTAGAGCAGACAATGTGAGGTTTTCCAGCTGATGAAAGACTGGGGGTGTTCGGAGATTAGCCTGAGGACAGACAAGGAAGACCCATGTATAGGGCTTTGTGTGCAGGGGTCGATAAGAACATCCTTACAGCATCCAGGATAGTGGAAAACGGCTTGAGTCACAGACAGTATTGCACCCTTCCCGGTGAGAACTGTCTGCCTCTCCCATTCCCAGAGCCCTTAAGCAAACCTGTCACAACAGGGTGCTTCTCTCCTCTATAAGGAATCTGGGAGTCTGTGTGCTTCTGGGGTGAGGCCTGTCAGCACCTTTTACAGCACTACACACCTAGTAGACCTTCAGTATATTCTGTACTTTTGGGATGCTTGGCAGTTTTGTACTGTTAAAGTTTATCCCCTCCTTAATTGCTTATTTTTTAGGCTTTCTGCATGTCACTGGGCTGGAGAGGGGCATTCTGTGCTGCTGGTTTGAAATGTGTGGGGAATATAGCATTCCATGGTGTAATGGTTGTTAGTTAGTGTGTAGTGGGTAGTTCTATGGGTGTTTGTCTTTGGTTACAACTGGAGATGAGTGTTATACTATCCCTCTTTCTCAAAGAGTGAGCCTGTAGGCTCACAGAGTATGAATTATATTTCCCCCCATCCTTGGTCTTGTGGTTGTTTTCAGTAAGCAGCACTGACAGGTAAGGCTCTTGTCCGCCACAGTTTCTTTTGGCTACTCTCCTAGAGAAATCCCAGGCTAGTAGTCCTAATTGTGTGTCTTCCTCATTTCAACAACTGTGGGGACGGTCCCTCTGAATGAACACCATCTTTTGCTCATTGTGGGGCAACAGGAACCTTTTAGACTCCCTGGTTTGATGTATTTTGAAATCCTCTAATTTGGAAGATCAGTTTTTACAGTTTGTTATCAACTAACTACTTCACTGGCTGATAATGCTTCATGCTTCGTGTCTCTTTCACCGTAAGTCCTCATATCTGTCACTTTCCTTTCATTGAGAACCTTCTGTGTGCTAGACCCTGTACAAGGTACTGGGGATACGGAGTTAAATGACAGTCCCTGTCCTTGAGGGTTGTCAGTCTTATTATACACAACCTAGGAAGATGGAGTGATGGGCAGCATGATGGGTGATTGGAAAGTCTTTACGGTAGTCTTGGTATTTGAGCCAAATCTTGAAGTTAGGTCAGAATTTGCCAGTGAAGAAGGGAGAAAAGGTATTTTGGGAAGGCAGCAGGGTGTGTGAAGGAATAGACTCATGAAGTCTCTGTTTCCTCTGGGGAACGTGAGAAGGGTTACGAAGTAGGAAGCTGGAGAGAGTGGGTAGTTTCATCTGAAATGGAAAGTTGAGCCTATGACATAACAGGCCAAGGAATAATGTAGGTTAGTAGGGAGCACTAGGTATTTTTAAGGCAGAGGAGTGACAGTCAGAGTTTTCTTGGTAGGGGAAAAGTGTAACTCTGGCAGCAGAGTGAGAGGTCATTTATAGGGAAGTAAGGCTGCAGCTAAGTGAAGCTGTATATATTTGATTTTATTTGTCTAGGATAAGAGAGGAAGTAAAGAGAGCAGGCATGTGAAATCCTTCTAAAAGAGAGTTTGGTTTTAGAAATAAACAGATTTTATGTTGAACTGTAGTAAGAGTGGAGATCCACTTTTCCCCTCAGCTCAAGTTGAACCAGACCCCTGGTTGTGCAATGCTCTGTGTTTGGGTTGGTATTTCCCGGGACCGGTCAAGATGATGCACTTCAGCCTGAGGCCTGTGGAGTAGCTGGGGAGCAGCGGCCCCAGGTGTCTGTCAGCGATAAGAGGGAGAGAACAGCCCTTTTAGGTCTGGGTGGAGCTTCTGTTTTTTTTGAAATTCTCCAGGCTGCAGTACCTGGCCCAGGGCTCTATCTTCACATGACTCCACAGGGAGATTTGATGTGTTGACTTCATTCCATGTTGAAGCATTTGACACTGTTGATTACATCCCTGCCTACGTAAAATACCCCCTTCTGTTCGCTTCCATGAGGGCATTTCTTGGTTTTCCTTTACCTGTCTAATTGCTGTCTGTCTCCCCTTGCGGGATCTTTTCGCTTTTTGGCTCACTCTCGCAGTTTCCTAAGGGGTGAAGCAGTGAGGTGAAGTGGGAAGAACATGGGTTGGGTTAAAATCCAAGTTTCTGCACTACCAGCTGAGTGACTTAGTCAAGCTACTCACTTTCTCTGAGCTTCAGTTCTCTCATCTGTAAAACAGGGATAATAATACCCCCCACATAAAATTATGAGGGCTAAATTAATGGCAGAGGGAAAGCTCCTAGCACAGGGTTGGCACATAAACACACAACACAAACATAGCTGGCATTATTATTAGGCTGCTCGTGACCGTCTTTCTCTAGCCAGTTCTGGTTTCAGCTCTTCCTTTCGATTGCAAACTCCCACATAAAACTTTTTAAAAAAAATAACTGTAAAAACCATGTAACACAAAATCTACTCTCAACAAATTTTTAATGTGTAGAGTATTGTTAACTGTATGTGCATTTGTTGTACAAGAGATCTCTAGAACTTTTTCCTCTTGCATGACTGCAACTCTATCCCCCGCCCCTGGCAACCACCATTCCACTTTCTGCTTCCTTGAGTTTGACTGCTTTAAAAACCTCATGTAAGTGGAATCATGCAGCATTGGTCCTGCCTTATGTCACATAATGTAACATCCTCAAGTTTCATCCATGTTTAGCATATGAAGATTTTACTTCTTTTGAAAGGCTGAATAATATTCCATTATGTGTATACAAATCTCAGTGTTTTATTCTCATTTTCCAGCTGCATACAGAACAGCCATACTTGAATATCACTCCAAACTCAGTATTTTCAAAACCAAGCTTAGACTTGGCGTCCCCGTTTCTTCCCCGATTTTGGCAGCTGTGCTTGCACGCTTCCAGTCTCCAGGATCAGAAACCCTGGAGATGTCTTTGACTCTTCTCTCTTCATCAACCATTTCCCAGTCTGTCCCATTTCCAGTCTGTCATCGAGTGCTTTTGTTTCTTGAGAATTTCTCTTGAATTGGCCTTTTCCTTTGCCATGACTCTAGTCCAGTCCCTCGTCACCTCACACCTAAATTACTGTGACAGCCTCGTATTTTGTTCACTGTGTCTTGCCTGTCTCTCCCCTCCAGGTAATGCTGCCAGCTACTTCCTAGTGTTTTCTGTTACCCAAAGTAAGAAAGACCTTCAGTGCTCTGACCTCCTTCCTCCTTATCCAGGCTTATCTCACTGATTTCCTGGAATAACCTTCAGTCCCAGACAGATCCTTCTCATTGTGCCTGAAAGTACTTCGTCCTTTGTCTCCTTTTGCCCTTTCTGTGCAGTTCTCTTTACCTGGGATGCCCTGGCTCTTTATACTTCACCGAAATCCACCCACTCCTTCAAGCCTCACTTTATGTCTTTCTTCTCGACCGAGACATCTCTGATTGTCATTGTCCATGTTGATGTGTCATTTTCCCACACTCTAATTTTGTCTGATTATTGAAATCATAAGCTTTTTGAGGGGACTATTTTATAGATGTCATATTTCCATAACTCTCACGACACCTGGCTCATAGCTAGCCAAGTTTAACTGCTCATTACTGAGCGCTTAAAAGGTGTGATAAAGTGAATCCTTTCATTTGACAAATATGTTTGTGTGCCGGGCTAGGCACTGGAACCCAACATAAACCACATAATGAGGAGACTAACTATACTGTATGTAAGCAAATACTGGTTGGTCACCTGAATTTGAGGAAACCAGGTCAGACTCTTAAGTGAGGACAAATGACAAGAAGAGAGAGACTTTAGAAAACAAGGCATAAATGAAACAATTATTGCAGGAAGAAGGCATCTAATGGATTTATTGAGCAAATAGTTTATTGAGTATCCACTGATACCAATTGTTTCTGGGCTTTGGGGCTATACCAGAGGGCAAGGCCAAGCCCCTTGCCTTATAGAGCTTATATTCTAACATTTAGAAGCATTTAGTTTTTAAATGAAAAGCGCTTAATGTGGGGTGAAGCCCATCAGTAGGAGGTCAGCACCGAAGGAGTTAATATGCTTGTAGGGCTCCAGGCTTTGTTGAAACAGATGGTTTCTCTGCCCTAGGGAGTGTTTTGAAGGGGGATTAGAGGACTGGACTGAGGAGGGCCAGAGACCTCTCTCCCTCACCCCAGAGCGCACACACCTGCTGTTCTGGCTCCTGGTGAGCTGTGCAACTTGTCCCTTACTTGGGTAGGCACTTATTTGCAGGCTTGTGGCTTTAGGGCTGACTGTATGCTCGTGACATTTTTATTTTCTTTTCCTGATTTTTATTTATTGTCCAACATCAGTGAAGTCCCATTTTGATTTAACGGATGTTGGAACTTGTCTGTGTTCCTTTCTGGTCCATGTTTACTTTTATATAATTGTAATCCTGGTCTATCTAGATATATATTTTTTCAAACCAATTTTTTTTATTGTGGTAAAGTACACATAAAATTTAACCATTGTAACAAGTTTAAAGTGTACAACTCATTGACATTAAGTACCTTTACAATGTTGAGTAGCCATCATGGCTGTGTAGTTCCAGAACTTCTTCAGACCCCAAGTGGAAATCGCATACCCATTAATGGCAGTCACTCCCCTCCCCCATCCCCCCACCCCTGGCAACCCCTGATCTGCTTGCTGACTTGCCTATTCTTGATATTTTGTGCCAGTGGAATCATACAACATGTGGCCTTTTCTATCTGGCTTCTCTCACTTAGCATGTACATATACATCTCTTTTTCATGTAACAGTATCATTTTTTTTTAGTGTTTCCTTATAGTCATTCTAATTTTATATTATAATGTTAATAATGGCTTCGCTTAGCCATTATCTTAAATGTTGAATATCTGGGTTGTTTCCAAGCTGTTGCAGTTATCAGAACTGCTGTGATGGACATCTCCCTGCCTGTGCTCTGCCGTCTTTCAGAGGACTCTGTATGTTGCACACCAGCTGCAGAAGAACCATTGTCCTCGATTAGGATAGTGTGGCCTGTTACCCAGCTCTGGGGGAGAACAGTTGAGGAATGATTTTTATAGAGAAGGGAGCATTATACTTTGCAACAGAAGAGCTTGATCACCAGGGAATGGCAGGGAAAAGAAAGGTTTGGTGTTTTTTTTCCTACTGTGTAGAATTCTTCTCTGACACTCCCTCCACCCCCTTTGGTATAGGAAGGAACTGAGTATAGCAGTTGAAGATGAAATGTTTTACTCACTTATTCATTCAACAAATATTTGAGAGCCTACCGTATGTCAGGCATTTGAAATTTGCCAGTGGGTCGAGCCTGGCTGAGCAGCGCCATTTACTCTGCTGGCCTTCAGTACTGCCTGGGAGCAATACCGAGGACCTGCTTCCAGGGCAGTCAAGAGGACTCAGAGTCCTGAGCCACACGGGGCCTTATGACCTCATGATTTGACACCTCAAGTTTTTGTACCATTATAGGTAGTCATCACACGTTAACTTGGGCTGCTCCCCACCGGGGATTTCACAGCCAGGCTGAGACTCCTCATACATGGTTACTTGGCTGCTCAGCTACTCTTGTCCCCACTGTGACAGAGACCTGGCTGTCCGGAGATGTGCCATTGAGCTTGTGGTCTCAGAGTGGTTTTGTTCACAATATCCTGGGCAAAGCAGCAAGGGAGGGGTGCTGTTACCTGCGTCTGAAGGCTTTAGGTATTTTATTTTAGTGAGGTTACTGTGTTCATGCAAAGCATGGGGCGGGGGTGGAGTGTCACAGATTCTGAGTTTAGCCCAGAGAGACCTGGGATTAGTGCTGCTGGGACCTTCTTGTCTCCTGGCAGACTGTCCCCGCTCCTTACTGACCCATTTTATAAAATAGTCTTAATTTCTCTCTACCCTGCTGGGAAAATGTCTCACCCTAAGGCCATTCAGTCCTTACACACACCATGTCTTTAAAATCCAGTGTGAGTCAAGAAAGCACTGTCAATCTAAACAGTTTTACTTAGGAAAGTGCTAAAACTCTCAATTGTTGGCTTGGGGTAGGAAGCACAGAGGTTGGTAGGAGCACCCGGAGCTGGGCCTGATCTCTGACCTCTTCTACCTACCATTTGTTGCTTTTCTTTCAGTGTCAGAATTTGATCTGTTACGAGTCTGTATCTTCAGTTGTATTTTTCCTAGTGTGCTATTAAAACTGCTGAACACTTCTCCCTTGGGGAGGGGGGAGGGGAGACAGGGGTTACACCGTCAGGAATAAAGACTCTGCTCTCTCTCTCCCTAGACCGTGGAGTTAATGGAATTGGCCTAGAGTTACTGAGGGGCTGCTGTGTTTGTGTTTCAGTGGGCTCGCTTTCTGAGTGAGACACAAAAGCCCAAAGCACAAGCCATTCCCACAAGCCTAACATTTTCATATTTCTTTCTCTGCCAAAGAATCTTTGGTTAGGGTTAAGAATAACCAGTCTGTCTGTGGAAATACCAAGGCCTTTTGTTTGCCAGAAGAAAAGGGCTTTTGATTAAGGCTGTCTTCTCTCTCTCTTCTTTTTTTTTAATTTTCCTTAAGCTGCTCTGAGAAGACTTCAGAGCCTCTGAAGGTGCTGTGCTTGGGGGAAGGAAAGAGCTAAATGGAACCAGGAGAGACTTAATCATGCTTTGCCACCCATTTGTGCAGAAATGGGGAAAAAAGGCAGGCCGCGGGCAGAGAACAAAATTTCGGTCCAGTGTTTGGTGATTGCTTTTACTCGCCTTTCTTTCTTCCGGTCTTTTATGAAATCCATCCAAAACAGTGGTTCCCCAAGGACCTACTATACAGATGACCTTGAGTCCCGCCCTATCACTTAGTGTGACTTTGGGCAAGTTATTTAACCTTTCTCTTTAGGCCAGCGTTTCTCAGCTATGAATCGAATATGATAGTGCTACTTGCATAGAGTTGTGTTGAGAACTGAATGACATAAAATGTAGAAAGTACTCAGAACAGTGCTTGGCACGTAGTAAGTGCTCTGTAAATATCGACGACTATCTCAGTAAATATTACTGCTCTTACCTGGGGCAAATGCTGAGCGTAGCTTTATTTTCCTGATTCCAAATGTGTCTCTAGGGCTGTCAGAGTCAGGCCTATGTCTTTTTAGAAGAAAAGGAGGCAAACGTTCCCATTGGGCATGATCTTTTTATCAGTCAGAAGCAGAGGGAAAGATTTATTCTCTGTGTGGACACATCCTCGAGGCTCAGGGTCTTCTTAACTGAATGTCAGTTAGAGAATCCATTTCATTAGGAGGAACTCATTACTCTTTGGCAAAAATAGTTCCTATTTGTGGGGTGGTAGTGGGTCACGACGACAGTAGATCATTACTTTCTTGGTCTTTGTCTGAGGATAGGGGGGTTTCTTGTGCCCCAGGAGAGGCTGAACCAGGCTATAGAGGAGGGGCCTCTTGTCCTCCAAATGGATAACAGTGGGAGAAGGAGGAGACAAGTCAGGAGGGAAAGGGGGCGTCCTCAGGCCTGAGCTGGTCCCCAAGACTTTAGTTCAGGTCTGGGGAGTGTCATAATGGAGGCTCTGAGCAAGTGCCTGGCATGTCCTTGGTCATAAGTAAGAGACCTGCTGAATGACCCATCCGAAATCTCTGGGCTGTTTTATAAGCTGCCACCTCCTTTCCCAGGTTGCTGGGGGCAGCTAAGGAAGTAGCACAGAAATTAAGTTTGCTCTCTCTTTCTTGCCTTTCTCTGTATTGTCTTTAGCTTTTAGGAAGGATTTCCATGTCTGCCTTCTCTTCCCCCATCCCCCTCACTCCCTCAAGGTGAAGTTTCATCTTACCTCTTGCAGGAAGTTAGTTTCTAAAGTTAGCACAGAAAGTGAAAATCCCAAATAATCAAAATTATCCTTGAGAAATATCTCAAATGACCCATAAATCTGAGTATATAAACCCAGTTTTGTGTATGTGCCAGGACAGAGTTGAAACACCGTATGAAGTAGTTGGCCTGTATACAATTGGGGGCCAATTTATATAAAAGGATAAGTATTCTCAGACCCTAGAATCATATTCAGGATTGAAGGTGCTCACAAGTGAAAGGTACACTGGAGCCGAGACTTGCTGCTGTCTCAGATTCAAGCCCTGTCACCTCATGTTCACCTTGTACATAACCTCACCTTGGTGTGAAACCTCACTGACTGGAATTGTGAGTAAAACTCTGCACATGTTTAAATTATTTTTCTCTCTGATCAAGTTTGTATAGTTCAATGCAAGTGAATTGTGATTCTCCTGTATCCTTCTTTTGTGCTTTCTGTTTTTCTTATTCCTTCTTTCACTTTTCAAATCCTTATTTTCTTCTTCTAAACCTGTTTTATAGCTCTCAGCAGTTCTTCTCTTGTCCAGAATGCTTATTTGTGTGTCTGCTTGTTGAATTTCTTAATTATTTTCAGTTCAGGATTCTTTAAAGGGGGAGAGAGCCAATGGGAGGAGAAGGCGTCTAACAGTCCTCATTTAAATTCTGTAGTCATAGCTTCCACTTTACTCTCTTCTGGTCCTCTGCTAACTTACAATTCTTATCCCTTGCATATAAACCCTTTCTTTCCTTCATTTTCTTCCCCCTTTAGGTTGTTTCAACAGAAAATTTCTGCTTATGATAGGCCAGTTAGAAATGAGTTTTTTAAAATTTAAGTGTAGTCAGTTTAGAAATGCATTCTTATTATGCCCACAATGCATCACTGGCTTAGCTCTGGATGGTTAGTTGGTTCATGGATCAACCCCAAATTCATAGTATCATAAAGAGAGATGAGGAGCAGAGCCCACCCAGAGAGGTCAGAGGACACTTTCCCCAAGTCACACAGCTGGCTATTGACAAACTGAAACCATGAGCCAGGTTCCTGGCTTGAAGTTGAATGCCTTTCCTCCTAATCACATTGCTTGCCTTTGAAGCCTTGGATGGGAGCAGTCCTTTGTAACTTTTTTTTCCCCTTCTCCCAGCCTCTGAGGAATTGTGACTTCTTTTCTTCTGTTTAATTTTATGTCTGTTCCTTTCCTTAACAAAAATGCTAGACAATATGAACTTCAGGAGGGTTAAATTTAGTTCTGTTTCAAAGATATATTTGAGATCCCACTCCTGGGCATATATCCAGAGGGAACTCTAATTCAAAAAGATACATGCACCCCAGTGTTCATAGCAGCACTGTTTACAATTGCCAAGACATGGAAGCAACCTAAATGTCCATCGACAGATGACTGGATAAAGAAGCTATGGTATATTTATACAATGGAATACTACTCAGCAATAAAAAGAATAAAATAATACCATTTGCAGCAACATGGATGCACCTGGAGATCGTCATTCTAAGTGAAGTAAACCAGAAACAGAAAGAAAAATACCATATGATATCACTCATATGTGGAATCTAAAAAAAGAAAAAGAGGACACTAATTAACTCATCTACAGAACAGAAACAGACTTGCAGACATAGTAAACAATTTTATAGTTATTGGGGGAAAGAGGGTGGGAAGAGATAAATTTGGGAGTTTGAGATTTGCAAATGATAACCACTATATAAAAATAGATTAAAAAATTTCTCATGTATAACACAGGGAACTATATTCAATATCTTGTAATAACCTTTAATGAAAAAGAATATGAAAACGAATATATGTATACGTGTGTATATATATACATGACTGAGACATTATGCTGTACACCAGAAATTGACACATTGTAACTGACTATACTTCAATTTAAAAAAAGATATATTTGAGAATTATGTGGCATCTCTTGATAAAAACTTAGATCTGTGTTACGACTTCCAGGACTGGGTATCACTGTTACTGGCGTAGAGGTTTGAGCAAGGGAGATTGGAGACCATAGTTCTGGGAGGGTGACGGTTTGTGTAGGGATCAGCTGGAACACAGAAGAGTGCTCAAGGTCAACAAACATTTGTTGAATTCCACTCTTTGCAAGGCACATGACTAGTGTTGAGAATACAT